CAGGAAAAAAACTGAGAGAGTCCTGAGTTCATGGGCTGCTCCTGTAGACAGCAAATCATGAGGGACTCCCAGGTTTCTTTAGCCCTCTCACCTTTGCTTGCACAAAATTCTGACTTTTGGGAAAGGGCATAACCTTTCTCCATGATGCACTTTTTAAAGTGCCAGTTAAAGGGGAAGAATTTTAATAATAGATGTGTGGGCTGTTTCACCAACAAATATGAATTTTATCTTTGTCCTGAACCAAAATGAAGAGGAGTGTGCATGGCCCAAAGTTTCATTTAGGATCTCAAAAAAGAGCGTAGCTGTTTTACCAACCTGGAGATGCATACAGCAAAGAGAAAGCACATGCTATTCCCTGAAAGTATCTAAGGTTTAATTCCTTCCCACTCAAAAGCATAAGGAAAGTAAATCTAATAAAGAATATGTATAGGAATTGTCTACTGTGGTCTTGGGAACATTTTTGAATGTAATCATGTCTGCCTGGACTCCATACACAATGCAGTGGAATCCAAGTCCTGTCGYTTTTAAATATTTGAAATATTTAAATTGTTTCCTTTCTGCTAGAGTTTAATTAACAAAATGTTCTTCTGCAGAAGAGATGATTCTTACACACACAAGTCCTTCCAAGCAGATGGCAGCAATTGCTGCAACAAAGAGTTTGCTGGCACAGCAGAGGCAGAACTGCCCCCCCAGCCAGTGGGGAGCAGATCTTAACTCATGGGGCTCCCTTGCTCCTTGCAATGGGAAACAAACCTTGCTACAGCAARGAACCAGCTAATTTCAGAGGCTGCAAAAACAGCTGCTGCACCACATCAGACAACCGAAAAGAATCCTGCTGGCGGTTCAAAAGGCCAGGAGGAGAGCAGGTTTCATGGTTATCCTGTTTCTGGCAAATCTCTACCTGTGAMACAACTATAATTTTCACCACATCAGACTTCTCTGTCACAACCAAAGTATTATTCCTAATAAATAGGAATAGGACGTGAATTATAGGTTGGAGAACTTCTGTTTACAAAACATGTTCATTCAGAGTTCTCAATGTAAGGAAAAAATAGCCACATCTACATGAAAAGCAAATAGACAGATTTAATAATATGTTTCCAAATCTGGACCCARGAGAAGATTTTTTAAAAAGTAATAACTTCTTATACCATGATTCCAAGTAAATAAAACAACCTCTGCATTATTGCTGGAACTGAACCTCCCACAGTGCTTAACTTTCAGCGACCTTGTCCTGTGAACATCTCTGTAATATGCTACACACTAAAAATAATACACTTATAGTTACAAGGATTTACCTAAGATAGGAGAGGCAGTTAAGAGACATTCTTTAAACCCACTGTTAGATGAAATAAACTCCAGTGGGAGCTTCTTTACCCTTCTGGTCCCCAAATAGTTAAGATGAAGAAATAATTTAAAAAATAAACCCTTTGAATTTGCAAGTCAAAATTTCAGCTACCAAAGAGCATTTAACTGTGTGTTATCACATAACTGTAATGTAATGGCTGTTGCCTCCTGCAACATAATCAAAAATCATGAAAAGAGCTGCCACTGTCATCTCAAGCAAGTACCTGACCTGACTTCATTCTTTGAAAGTCTATCCACGGCTAACAAGGCTACAGTTCCTAAGGATGATGCTATTTCATAACAGTCCTTTCTACTTTCACTTCTGCCTTCACTAAAATAATTCACAGGTATTACTTAAGACGAGTTGTAGAAATTGCAAATAAATTTAACATGCTAAAAGTTAGAAAAGCTTTTTTGCACTAACCCAACATTAATTTAAAGTATAGTGCAGCTGATCTTTAAGCTTCTCTCCTGTTTTTTGTAAAGTTGGGGTTAATCAGGATGACTGTGGCACCAGGTTATCTGCATCTGCAGTGTTCCTCTCCACTAAATCCCAGGCTTTACCCAGTATCAGGACAGGGTGTCATCCATCAAGAATGTCAAGGATGGTAAGGACTGCCACTCTCAGCTGTAATCCTGTGATCCTCAAGATGAACAATCATGTTTATTTTACAGAATGACAGCTTTCCTACGTTCCCCTTCGCTGTTCACAAGAATTCACTGTTCCTTTGGGTATCTTGACTGATGTCAGAAAGAATTGAGCAAAGCTCACGATTCTGACAGGATCAGCTCTCCCCTGGGAGCCAGCGGGGCAAAGAACTCAGCAYAGACTTTGGGTAACCAAAAGGTACCTGTGGAGAAGATGGAGTTAGTTTCTTCACAAAGATTCATAGTGACTGGATAAGAAGAATGCCRGCTTTCCAAGGAAAACTCTAACTGGATGCAAGAAAAAATTACTGATTCTGAGAACAGCAACACATTGTCTCATAGAGTGATGGAATCTCTGTTACTGGAAAATATCCAATTCTCTGCAGGACCCTGGATAACCTCTGGTAAAAACCCTGCTTTCAACAGCAGTTTGGACCTTATGACCTGATTTTTCTATTACTCCTTTGATTTTTCTGGTACTCCTATAGCATATAAATTTTGACCTAGAAAATGAGCTTTATGTGATCTTTTCAAAAGAACCTAAAAGCAGAMTTTGTACCCAAGGTTATAGGGTAAAAAGGTATTATAGGACAGCACAATGTCCCTCTCCATAGGACAGCTCACAGATGGAGTGATCATATGGCCTGGAAAGACTCAGTTATATCCCAGGTCTCTCATTTCTTTCAACACCTCTGAGTTCCTTCACAGTCACAAGTCATTAATCCTTTTGTTGGTGTAGATGGCACAGGGTGAATTATATTGAAGAAATAACAAAGAAACAAGTCAAGGCACCACGCAAGCACAGATAGTACAATTTTAACATCATCTGCCACACCTTTCCAATAGCTTTGAGAATAAATTAATTTCTTCAATATTCATGGTGACTGTACCAGGATGTGTGCCATTTTCATGGAAAGAGCCACGAGTCCTGCATTCCCTTGCAATAAAATCCTGTCAGCACAACTAATGGATGTCAGATGAATAAGCTTAAAAGAGCAAACAAGGGCACTGTCAAAACCATGTCATCAACCCACAGGACTGTTTGTAGTGATATTACACACTCCACTGCCTCCAGTCACAGCCCAGGATAATCAAAATCCATGTTCAGATCTTGCAAAAATTGACACAGCCTGGCTAATAATCCACCAGAACTCAGAAGCCATACTGGATATATAAAAGRCAGCTTTATTTTGTGCTTTGCTTTTGATGGAGATTAAATAAATTGAAGAGGCAAGGCTATCAGGTCATTGTTTGTGCATTACAGCTGTCCAGTCAGAGATGGACAGACACTGTTTGCATAGCTTGTTGACTGATTAAGAGGCAGAGTAAGACTCTGAGAGTCAGAAAGGGGGGGAGAGAGAAGACCGTGATTAAGGAAAAAACAAATGCTGATAGAATGACTGAATAGAAATAGTCACCTTTTTACGAAAGTCACAGATACCACCTAAAAAAAACCTCAAAAAAGGAAACGAGATGAGCCAGTTACAGATTTGAAGACAAAACAGTTTCTRCTACCGTTCTACATCAGAAATCTGGACTGAAACCTCTGCCAGGGGAGGAGCAAGCACAGCAGAATGAAAGGTGAGATACTGCAGTAAATTAATAATGCAATTTTTCTGTTTGTGAAGCATTTCCTTGCCAAGCAAGAGTTGATTTCACCTCTAGGCTGGAAGCTGTGTCTCAGTTTCTGGAGCRAACTGTTGCAGRACAGCGTAATGAACTCAAAGGGTCKCTTACCTTGCTTGCAGGAATGCTGGATTCTTTCAAGTGAACTCCATGATGCAGAATTCAGTATTGCAGAAGATTATGTATAATTTTAATATAAGTATTTCATTAAAATAAATTAAAAATTAAGAGTAGCTAATAGTGGTCAAACTGTAGTCTCATAATATGACTTGAATTTATACATTTGTCCTATTTCATACTATAATCATACATTAATATGGTATTTCCTGTTAGTAATTCACATTTGATCTCTGTAAGTCAATAAACAGCAAGTACTTTATTTTCTAAAGGTTTCAAGTAGCAATAAATCTAAATGTTTTGTATATTGAAATATTAACTAATAAAAATTATTTTAGGCATCTCACAAACAATGTTACAAAAGGATTCATGATTCTGACTTTCTTTAGTCAAAGAAAATCTAATTATTCAACACCATCTGAATTTTTAAAATTTCATTATATGCATATAAGCATAGCTTTAAGGTGCTTTTTTTCTAAATTTAAGATTATTAGTAAGMTATAAAAGCTAAAAACTCTATTTTTTTCAGCTAAAACCACGTGAACATCAGATATTTAGGGAGCAGCAGATAATTMTAAATACTAAATATTACTAAATACTCCTGTCAACTGATTCATATTTTTAGAAGTTTATTGACAAATGTCTGTTGATTGTGCAGAAACCTGTATCTTTGGGAAGTACAGCTGGCATTCAGAGAAGGGAATTAAAGCAAAAAGCATAAACAGAAGAAGCTTATAGAATCTGGATTGCTGAAAAAGTACTGCTACTAGCTTTTATAGCTGTATTTAAAACTTGTTATTCTTTTGATGGTACATTGACTCAGTTCTTCTAGGCTGCAATATTAGTCAAGCCAACAAAAAATAAAAGTTCTGCTTGTAATTCTTCTGACACAAGGTCTTAAATTTGTTACTACCATAGAAAGAGTGACATTTCAATTTAAGATTTTTAGAAACTCTCACATTCCCTTCAAACATCACTGCTCTGCTGATGGCAAATCCTCCTGAAAACCATTTGCACTTAAGATAAAGCCATGGGAAGTACTTCATTTTAAGACCATGGTAGCATTATCTTCATTCTCCATTACAGAAGCACTTCAACACTATCTGTAATTTACTGATTTTTGTAAAAGAAATGCACTCTGTGGTATCTGTATTCATGTTTATCATGGAGCTGTACACCTTCTGGCTGTGTTTATGGCCTGTATATTGCCAAAAGACAAATATTTTAAATTAATTTTAAATTTTCTTTCGCTTGTGGTCCAGGTAACTGGCTTTTGGTGTGGAGCGTCATCTCCTTAGCACACGCAGCTCGTGGCTGCCCCGAGAAATGCCTCTGCAACACAGCTTCAAAGACTGCAGACTGCAAGAACAGAGGGTTCACTGAAATTCCTGCCCGTTTACCTCCTGAAATCCAGATACTGCAGCTGCAGAACAACCGTATCTGGAGAATCAACCAAAACGCATTCACTGCAACGCCGTTACTCAAAATCTTAGACTTGTCTAATAATTCTCTCTCGAGTGTGGCACCTGGGGCTTTCCAAAAGCTGCGCTATCTACAGGTTTTGAACCTAACCAGAMATTTGATCCATTATATAGAAAACAAGACTTTCAGTTTCCTCCCACACCTGAAAGAACTGGACTTGTCGTCCAACAGCATCGTTCGTCTGCCTGAGACATTTGGGAACCGCACAGGGAATATAACATTGCTCTCGGTGAAGCACAACAAACTYCAGAAAATGGAAAGAATTCTGCTGGAGTCACTTCCAAACCTGAAAGTGGTTCTCTTCAAAGATAATCCCTGGCAATGCAATTGCAATGTCTTTGGCCTGAAGCTGTGGCTGGAGAGTTTTCTATACCGAGGTGAGGGATTTTTCTCATTGCATTTACTGTCCGTGAGAACATAAATCCAGCATCTGACTGATCTTCACTTCTACGCCTTAAAAATTTACCTCACACCATAGGCCCCTTCCTCAAATAAACACACTAAAATATATTCTTATTCACAGGCTGGGATAGAAGGGCTTTTATAAACACAGGTGGCAAACTAGAATAGAGAGGGACTTCATGTTAGTGCCCAGAGAAAGAGCAGGGAGGCACACACACCACAGGCAGGTAGAGCTGTGTTCTTTAGTGTGTGAATGAATATTTCTATGTGTGTGAGAGACATTTCTATGTATAAAACAAGTATTATTGTGCACAAACAATTGTTTTAATGCTACCAATATATTTTTGCTAGAAACCAACCTAGTGTTTAAAAGCTTTTCACCTGTTGCATGACATATCTGTCTTTGTGTCAAGATAGATATCAGTACTGAGCAAGCATTACRGAATCCACAGTTCTAGTTTTCCTGTCAATTATCACTTAGTAGTTCTCCAATATTTTAAGAATACCTAATATCACTTCCTAATTTGTTGGTAACCAGAAGAGGTACCCAGTTCATTGGCAATTTCCTGACAGAAATGTGTAATGGCATCACATTGGGGAAAGTGAAGTTTATAAATAGTAGTCTCAGTATTTTGGTCACACCTGYTTTTAAAAATATTCATGAGTAGTACTGCGAAAAAGATAACATGATTTAATTCTAAAGGAATTAAGTATAAAAAGAAATTAATTTATTTCTCCCAGGAGGTAAGTTCAGACTGAGAATTTGGAACAGTAGGACAATTTTCATTTTACTAAACCAGGCTYTGATGCTTGCATGTGACCAAACTGCTGATTACTTATACAAAAGTGGTGTGGAGCCTGTTGTGAATKAGCTGAATTTGCTGTTAACAATACTTTGTCTGTGATAGCTCTTATTTTTCTAACACCAATGTTTTGATACACTTGCATCCATAAAAACACAGATAACCCAATTCCTGATGAACTACTTCCTGAAAATGTTCCCTTATGTGAGATCTGAAGTGTAATAACCTCTCCACTGACCTAAATGAACAAAAGCCTTTAAAACACAGCTATAAATCTTTAAAAGTATGAAGCTGAAACTGATGATAAATTCACTCCAGGTTGACGTTAATTTTACATTAACCTAATTCAGAAACTCTCAGATATTGACACCATTATTTTTTTYCCCCAGGAGGAATAAGCGACGGCATCATCTGCTCCGCGCCAGGCATTCGGAAGGGCAGGGACCTTCTCAAAGTGCCCTACGAGCTGTTTGGTGCCTGTCCCCTGAGGACATCCCATGTACACATGGCCAGCAGCCACCAGCACGGCTGGGAGCCCCGCGGCTCCCCGAAACACGGCCACCACGGTGAACAGGCCGATGGCGGCCGCGCCAGCTGCGAGCCCAAAGCCAAGGCCCGGCCGGTGAGCCTGCGGCACGCCATCGGCACGGTGGTGATCACGGGCGTGGTGTGTGGGGTGGTGTGCCTGATGATGCTGGCGGCCGCTGTCTATGGCTGTGCCTACGCTGCCATCACCGCCCGGTACCACCGCGAGCGCCTGGGCCCGGGCAGRCCGCACACCGCCCCTGAGGAGAARGAGCTGCTCCAGAGCTCCTTGGCCTGAGCTCAACCTGTCAGCTTAGAAATAAAGCCCTCCATGCTGAAAAACCTGGAACCTAAACTGGATTGTTCTAATAGAAATAACTGGGGGTTTTTTTCCTTTTTTTTTTTCTTTTTCATACTTCTAAAAAAAATGTACATACATTGTTTGGAATATCTACTAAGACTTTATATGGAACAATGTAAGTTTGTTTATATTTCATGTGTGTAAATTCTGAGGTCCCTGTTTAGGGCTGAGTGTTTGAGATCGTGAAAACTCAATGAAGCCACTCTGAAGTATTTCACCATCCTGTATGAACTAACTCTTGATGCAGGATTAGACCAAGATATGACCTACGGCTCAATGACTCACAGGAGYGACCTTTCTGCAAACAAAACTTGAAAACAGCTATTTAAATTAGTTTAATTAGTTAAATTTGTACTATCTTACTATCTTAAATTCGATAGTACAAATTATTGTCTAATTCAAGTTGTACACAATTCACAAGCAGTTTTCAAACCAGCCAGTCTRTGCACTGCCAGTGATAACATAAATGTGTTAAAAGCATTTCCAAAAATGTTGTTTCAACCTTCCACTCTGCCCCAGGAAGCATCAATTAAACATTACATCCATTTGCTAGCTTAGAAAAGAGGAAGCACCTTGTTAACTACTGCATGTAATTTTTTTAATTACTTGGTAGGGAAGAAAGAGGAGAGCTGAGAAAATGCTGGAGGAAGAAATGCTGCCCTGCTTTGGATACAAGCCCTGAAAGGAGCACACAGAGCACAGCTGAAGACACTGCCTGATATCCTGCTGGCTTACAGGCCTGCTTCAGACATTTCTGAAGCCACTTATTCCCAAATGCTCACACAAATGCCCCATTTTGCAAAGGCCATGACTGCAGATGCAGCTCCCACCACAGAGCTGCCCTTCAGCAGGAGGATAATGTGGGTGCATGTTTACACCTCCTCCCTCACAGAGGGAACATTCAGCTGCATTCACTCAAGGGTCCATCCTGACTCTCTGCAGAGCTGTTTTGCCATCACAGGAAATCAGAGCCAAAACCATCTGAGCAYCATAAGTTTAGAATTCAAAGAATATTTTGAATGTGCAGAGGYAGTTATTCTAACAGTTCTTARAAATKATTTCAAAGCAACCAACAGAGATCAGCGKCTCCATTCACCTTTCCCAAGACCAGATAAAATACATTTTAAGCGATTTGTGACAGATGTGTCCCCTCTCCCAGTGACAAGGATAAAGACCTGTCCAGGTAGGCAAGGCAGAAATCACCAATGTTTATAGCCTTGAGGAAAAAGCCATGGCACAGTGTGCAGTGAGGGCAAGGGGGAGGTGTCAGGGCATTCAGAGCTGCACTCTCCTCCCAGCAGAGGGATTCCAAGATTGAGCTCTGTAGCTGTCCCCAAAACAGCCTCAACTGAGTAATGGGCTCTGTGGCAGGAGTCATCTAACCCTTGCTCTTATCTACTTAGCAATAATTGCAACCTAARTATTAAAGCTCATTCCTGCATCTGCAGTTACTTTCATTCCAGAGAAAATTAAGCATCTCGGTCTTAATCTAAATCTAGCAGACATTGAAAACAATCAATTACTGTCTGGTTTTTT